ACAAACATATCGTTGGGGTGTGTTTACGTTTTATCGTAATATGCACGTCTGATGCGCGTTCTTTGTGATATTGAAAGCAGCCTACAGGTTATGGTTCATCAGTGGAGTGTAGGTTGAATGATTGCCGGTGAGAGGCTTGGAAAAATGGCTGGTGCTACTGAAAATTCCGACGTGTATTGAAACTACTGAAATCTGATTTCCCTGTGTCTTGGCAATTTTTTCTGGCGTTTGGATGACTCTATCGACTGCATATTTGATTGTCAACAAACTCGATTACTATCCAGGCAGCTGCATTGCGTTGCTGGACATGAAGAAATTAGGTTGCCCTTGCTGACACAATGTACAGGCTTCCTTTGCTGATTTCGACCAAATCACAGCTTCAGTGGGAGTAGCTGTTTCCAGCGCAACTGCATTCCACGTTCGATCAGGATGATGACATGAAAGTGGATGTTGGATGTACTGACGTTCGGATAGGTGGGTTACTGAAAACGACAAGAATATGTCCATCTGCCTTCGCGTTCAACAAAATAGTGTGACTGTCGCTCGTAGACCACAGACAATACCGTGCTATTTGACACCATGATAAAAATATAACTGTGCTTAGAGATTCAGCTGGGTTTCAGGTGAGTTTCTCGCAAAAACTAGTTCGTTTGCGAATGGGTGTATTTCGCTAATTTCTGCAATTTGGGCTCAAGATAAACATGAGGTTGACGGAAACTCAGGAACCGTGCCTACCTAGTGAGCCCCAAGACGGTCGAAACGAGTCATGGGCTGTCGAAGAATTTTCAGCAACCTTAGAGGTAGTGCATTGCGTCTAGTGCCGTGTTCTCTTCGAAGCAGCGTACGTTAATACCTTAGATCTTACAAGTGTTATACTCTCGAATTTTTCGAACACCAAGCAAGCGAGGCACTGACAATGGGTTAGCGAGAACCTCGTATCGGGAATAAAGCATTGTGTTTCAAAATACAGAGGATTCGCGTTTATTCCACATCTCTCCAGAAAGTCCTATCTAACGACGGGCTATTGGTCCGTAGAAGTTTTGTGAACCAGCTTTTTTGTGAAGGCATTAAACAAACTAGCGAATTTCCAAGACCACATTGTGTGTGCTCATATGACTGTCGCACTGTTGCATTTTGAAGCACAATCATTTTCCACCCTTCTCATCTCATTTATTATGCAATATTAAAATCCGTGCTCCGAGAAACGGATTGCCTCAACTCGGTTTGATCATACTGGCGAAAACGCTAATTAATTGGATCAAACATGGCATGTTCTGAAACATAGTGCTACTCCACCCAAGGAAGCACGTGGCTAGTAATACAGACTGCCGACATAGAGGAGTACATCACAGGACACTAGTTCTTGCTCAGTTGTAATGGAACTGAAGATGTCCCCAAAATGTGGCTATGGGCAAATTGCTTTCATGGGTTTCAGCTATGTTTACTGTAGCCTGGGTAGCGAAAGCAGTGTACTGGTAACACACGGGTATAGAAGACATATCATCATCATCATTGTCATCATCATCATCATCACCCTCATCATCATCGAGAGCATGACATCGGAGTTCAACAAAGATGCTTCGCTGCCCGTGCAAACAGAAGGCATATAGCGTTGCTGGAATGGTGAGCTCCTGTAGCACGTTTCCTCACAGACAAAGCGACCTACATTCGCTTAATCTGCGTAAAAGGGCATCCAATTTGAACGTCACTCAGGCTGATTTGCTGAATAAACACATTATACACTATTGCACATAACTGCCCACACTAAGAACGGACACCCTTCTTTACTCGCAAATTCCACCGAAAGGTTTGCCTATTTCTGATCTCTGACTGCTGAGTGGTTTGGAAATGACGATCCGACTGTTATACACAATGTATGCTGTGCCATGAAAATGGCACTTGTGATAATTCAGTTGGGTTTGTGACAAAAGCCGATCCAACGAAGATGTGGATTCCCGAGGGTGGGGCATTATGGTGACTGTGGTTTTGATGTTGATGAGGAGGAGGCCGTTCATAATATTTGTCTTCCGATTGTCCATGCTCCTCAACATGGACTTGGTGACAACGATTCTGTCTTTGTTACTGGTTCAAACAAACACGGCGTTTTTATTTGTTTCGAAGTTTGCTGTAGAGCGAATGACGCCGCGCGATACTGGGGATATTGGTAGGGGATTTTGACGATATCTTGTAGTATGCGGCAGGTTAACTTTTTGATGCTGACGTACATCGTGCCAGTAGTAAATTTTGAGGATATCAGCAACGTTGATTATGATGCGTTCGGTAAGAATGATGCTGCTGGTTCTGCTGACGTTTGTAGGTTTGACGATAAATGTGATGTGGAAAGTAACAAAAATCCTCCATCCAAAGAGAATGACGGAGCAGTTTATGTCTGTGAACGTGTTGAGGGATGCAGTTGATCGAGATAGCATTTCAAACTAAGTACCGATACAGATTTCATTGTGGTCACTTGCAGTAGGGCCAGGTATATCTTTGGCCATGGAATCTGATGACTTTGCGATCTCGAGTCCCGGTACGCCAGAACAAAGTAAGTCAGCGGTGATTACGATGATAGCGACGACGAGTGAAATTTGCGTGATGACGATGGGGATGAAGATGATGCTGTTGGAAAGTGTTGAGGAGAATTTCGGATAGTCATTTCTCGTTTCCTACTGACCGTGGACTGCAAAATGGTAACAGGCGTTGTTAATATAAAACATAAGCAGAATTTTATAGCCATGTGGACGATGTTACTTGAAAGAGAGCAACGGTTGACGGAATAAAAGGCGCTTTTGAGTTTTCAATTCAAAAGAAGAATTCGTGTTAACTTGTAACTTATCAGAAGCCAGATTGCACTGCAAAAACCGAAATATATGGTATAACGACTCCTAGAACCACCCTCAACACCTGGTGAGACAACTTGTTGAGGCAAGTCAGCATGTGAGAATAAGTGAGGCTACTCCGAATTAGACACGAGGGTAGGCTACCGAGGCTACTCCGAATTAGACACGACGGTAGGCTACCTGCGATCACTTGATAGCAAGTTTAAAAACAAGGTTGAGTGAGCATGCATAAACCATGAACCATAGTATCTCGGACGTTCTTTAGACGCTTTGGCTCACATTGTGTCTAGCCTGGGACAAGTGCTCGTATTCTCAAGGTCACATGTTCAGTGCCCACATGATTCTCATGTGAATATTTGATGCGCCATATTTTCATCGCCCACGTTGCTATCACGTTTCGGGCACACTGAATTAAACGCGTTCCGTAACCTTGTAACATTTTGGATGTAAAATTCAAGTACAATCCGAATCAAACGGTGTAGATCACGCGATGAGAAACTAGTTTGGCCTAAAATCTCATTTGTATCACGATAAATCACTTCTTAGTATTGGGCATTTAAACGGGGATTTTTTCGCTCGTATCTCCCATAGCGTTTTGCAGATCTAGCCTCTAAATCAGTGATGCAAAGTTCACTTGAAATCATAGCTTGCCCAGCTTGTTAACAGAATAAAACGCAAGTCATTTTACCTCAAATAGGGATCCAATAAGCTGACACAAATTTTCGGGCCCACAAACAGTTCCTTCATTCACGTGTACCTTATAGGGAGCTAATGGAATGCTCTATTGAATATCGCTCTTATCTTCAAAACCGTCAGTTTTAGCCTAAGGTGGATGACAGATTAAGATTTTGTTCAGCTGGGTCATCCATCGATGCTAGCCCAATGGTAAATGAGTGCACCAGTACAAAACTAGGCGTCTGTTGTTCACTTTTTTGCGTTTCGCCCAGTTCCAAGTACTTTTTGCCTGCCCCAACTCCACAACGTTGTTTGCTTTCAGGCGCAGTCTGTACAACTTGTAGAGTAGATACAAGAGGAATATTTCGGAGATCACATGTTTTCTATTTATGACTGAAGATCAATGGCAAATCCCATAGTAACTGCCAAAACGAGGGAGAAAGGGCATGGTGTCCTGTAGACAATTTGTGTGGCTCTAGTCAATCCAGGAAACTGCGGAAAGCGTTTCGGTGCTACGATGCTCAGAATGATGAGGTTCCTTGAAGAGCTTTTGGAGGTAGCCCATTAGAAACCAAGATGTTAAAGAATCCTGGATATGAAGTCGTGTTTTTTTCCATTAACGCTTCAAGGACGGACTATTGCTCGTGGATCTTCACCAGCAGCCAATGACCGGACGACGAAATGAAATTTGGACCGACTTCATTGGGTACCTTCATGATCTCGGAGTAGAAGACTTTGATTTGTACTACTGAAATTCTGAACAGTGGCTTCTTTGCCTCGCGCATTATGATAATGACTTGTGTTCCCAAAAGAATTCTGGTAATTGATAATATATAGCTTCAAGTAACGAATATTTGTGACCAACAGAGCATGGCTTAAAGTTTTCTAAGACTGCCATTAATTTTTGAAGTGCGGCTTTGTTAGCACCCTTGTTCGGTGACCTGTTTACGCTTTGAAATGGAGGCCAAATATAAGGAATCTTCCAAGCAAAACATTCTCTTGAAAAATAAAAAAGCTAATTTTCCCGAAATATTGTCTAATTATATATTGGACTGGATTAACTTCAGGGCATGTATCATTTCACAAGCGTGGAGTGCCAAACATCAGAAGTTCTGTTAGAATATGCCAATTGCTTTTCAAGATATTGGGCCCACTCATCCCTTTATCCAGCACTCACCTTTGATCAAGCTAGCCTCGCATGCGCCAAGAAGCTGTCTTGAGACACGTGCGGCACCGATATATAATGTGACAGTGATATATGGTTTGTAGTTGGTTGAATGACCTGCGCAGAGGTCATTATCCACGACCACTTGGTTGAAAAGTCCTGAGCAACAGTGTTGAATAGGGTCAAAGCCACTCACATGAGGATTAGAAGGAATCGGTAGTTAGCTATAGAAAATGTCATTTTGGGAATGTGGAATCGACATGTGAAAGCCTGACATTTGGAAACAGATAAATATGCAAGTTGTAGGAATGAATGCGTGTTTAGATCAGACCAGATGTTAACGCTCAGAAGAAGTCGTTGGCCTCAAATGTTTGGATATCACAAGAATTAGGGGAATCGAATCATGGGTGACAGTCATTGATGTTACTGATGTATAGAGGAAAATAGGTAGCAAGATATGAATTTCAGGAGCTGATAAGTAGCGATGAGAAAAGACCACAGGCTATGTTTCTTCTAT